AAGGTCTCAAACCTGCTATGGGGTCTGGGGAGATGACTCGGCAGTTAAGAGCACTAGCACTGGGTTTCTGTTCCCAGCACCCACACTGGAAAGTTCAAACACTTGGGATTTCAGCTTCAGGGGATGCAATGTCCTCCTCTTCTGGCCTCTGAGTACCAGCACATAGACGGTGCAGGTGCACTTACATACATTCAGGAACACACACACACTAAATAAGTAAACCCTAAAAGCCAACAAGACAAAACAAAACAAGACTCTGCTATGTAGCAGAGGCAAGTGCTGGAATAATAAGCATGGGTCGCGAAGCCTGGCTTAAAATGAACTGATGGCTTCTGGCCTGACCCTTTGGCAAGCATCCCACCCATTGTATTTAAATACACCCCAACAGGGTTCTTTGAATAAGTGGGTTTATCCACATCCTGCCTGCATCCTGTTGACCGGTGCTCACCAGACACCCTTCCCTGCCACCCACCCCCCCCCAGCCCTCTGTAGACCAGGCTCCAGGATTTAACAACTTTTGCCTGACCCCTATATGACCCCGAGGGAGACAGTTGGGTGGGGCTGAGATTAGCTGGCCCAGAAATGGAAACTCTGTTGTGAAACTGGGAATCGGGGAGTTCAAAGCTGGCTTCTAGTAAAGGGCTCTGGTCCCAACCGCATCTTCATTTGGTACACAAGCTACCATCAAGGCCACTCAAACAATGACACAAAAAGGCCCCATGGTCATGTATGTTACCATGTCACAGATGTTGCCACGGCCACATGTAATGCTTCCCTCTCCTACAGTGTTACAGCCCTGTGTGAGCTGACTGTTGTGCACAGTGACGGTCACGCTTATGGCCATGATAATGCGTGTGACTTCAGTCATTCATGTCACCAGTCAACACAGATGATGACCACAGCCAGGCTGACAGTTCCAAGTACCACTAGGAGCCAGGAGCCAAAGCAGTTGTCAGCATGCACTCAGAGACTCACAGTTTAAGATTAGAGTTGAGAAAAGATGGTGAGGGCGCCTGGCTATAGTCCCTACACTACCATGAGAAACCTGAACAGTGGCAAGCCATGACTGCCCAAGGTCCTGGTGAGGGCATGCTGGGAGAACTGTCTTCTCCTGTGTTGAGTTGGCAGAAGCCTCCCCCCCTTTGAGATTTGCTTATGTGTGTGTGGGTGTTTTCTCTGTATGCTTATCAATGCAGCAGTGCCCTCAGACGCCAGAAGAGGGCATCAGACCCCTGAAACTGCAGTTACAGACAGTTGTGAGCTGCCATGTGGATGCTGGGAATTGAACCCAGGGCCTTTGGAAGAGCAATCAGTGCTCTTAACTGCTGAGACATGGCTCATGTCTAGCCTGACAATCCCCAATGGTAAGGGAGAACTGTGCAGGTTTTCGATGGTAGCAACATGGCTTTAGGAATGCCTTACAGGGATTGTGACAACCAGACCCCTTTCCTAGGTAGAAGGACACCTTCTTCTAAGTACAGCTGAGCCTGCTTTTTCAAAGCGTATGGTCAGCAGCAAGCTGGGGGCCGTTGAAGGAGTTTGGAGGTGGGTGTGCAGTGTCCTAGAAGTGGGGGGCACAGTGTTTCTTCCCAAACTTTCTTCACCTAGTGAGACCCGATGACTAGCAAGAAAGGCTGAGGGTCAGTGACAAGGTCAACAAGTCACCTGCCATTAAGCTACCTGGCGACAAAGGCCACTGGAAGCTACCACCACTAATTCACACCTTTGCTGTAATATTTAGCTGTGACGGGGAGTCTTCAGGAATCTGTGGTATATGTCTACCTAGCCTCTACCCCAGCTACCAGCCCAGAGCCGGGCCTGATGCTGTAGGCCAGCTTAGAACTGGGTCTGTAATCAAGTTCGCTTGGGCCAGCTCAGCCACTGCGATTGGGGAGGATGGTACAGAGAGGAGAGGGGCGTGGAAACAGAATGGACCTGAAGGGCCAGGCCCTGGCTAGTTGCTTCATGTCCACATGCTCTGTAAATACACAAATACTGAGGCAGATGCAACTCCAACCTACTTCTTACTGCCTTCCTGAAATGGGTCCTCAGTGGGGACACTGGGCTCAGTGTCCCTGCCTCTGTACGTCTCCACTCATGGTGTGGACATTTGCCTCTAACGGAACCAAATATCTGGGGTGCCCAAATACAATCCCCTCACAAACTTTTTCTTGCTTCCATCAAGAGCACATGTTAACTAAAACCCCAACAAACTTGAGGATGAGCCTGAGCTTTGACTGTTTTGTGGGGAGCAATTACAGGGGCACAAAATTTGAATAGGTTAGCTCAGGGGAAGAACCAATAATGGACTTGCCCCTGATTCCGCAGTGGTTACTGTTTCTTTCTCTGCTCATCTTGGTTCCCTGTAGGTAGGGAGAGCTGCTTCCTGATAAAGAACTTTTGACTCTTGACATCTCTGTTCCTTGAAGACAAACAGTTAGTGGCTAGAGAGATGGCTCAGTGGTTAAGAGCATTTGGTGATCTTGAAGAGGTCCAGGGCTCAGTACTGAGCACCCACGTCAAGCTCTAGAGGATCTGGCTTTTACAGGCACCTGTGTGTGTATGTGTTCGCATGAGCACACACACAAATACACACACACTAAATCTTTTTTAAAAAGGAAGCACTTTACTTAGATCAGCTTTGTAGACTAAAGCTCCCCAAGGTCTACAAATATTGCAGGTCCTACTCAACTCAAGGTCATTATGGGAAACTGGGTTGCCCCGCCCCCTCCTGGACACGCTTGCTGTTTGCAAAAGGCTCTGAGCCTCCTGTCCTTTGCACTGGGGGAATCTCTCCAGAGATTCAGGCAGGGAGTGCTCTCAGTGACAGCCTCTCTTTTCACCAATGCTGATGCTGGTGGCGGTGGCTACCTCACTGTACAAAATTGGCCTTCCCTAGCTTCTCCCATACTCCTGGGCTACCCCAGTACCCAGTTCACAGCTGTCCCCAAACAACTCAACTGCAAATTCCCAACCCCCAGAGGCTCAGCTCTTTTGTTGTCAAGCCCACTGGGCCTTAAATACTCCTGGCTCTGGGGATTGTCCCAAGGTCCATGCACCCGGCCCCAGATGTACTCAGGGAAGAGGGTAGAAGTCCACGTCCCCACGGGGATAGCTGGAGAAAACTTCCTAAGTGCAGTGGCCCTGCTAACTTCAGATAGTTACCATTCCAGGGTTCCCTGGGGGAGGGGGTTATCCTGCCAGCCAAGTGAATGGCACCGGGAGTTTCCCAGGCCTCCCTGGATTTCGTTTCGGGTGACCCTGCCACCAATTAAAGGCCTATTGCTCACCAGCCTAGGCTTGTTTCTTGGAAAAGTTTGTCCTTTCCAAGGCAGGTGGGGTTGTGCCTTCCAGAGTATGAACCTGCCGGATCCACTCTGCACAGTTAGACACCCCCACCCCCATCCCGTGTCTTCTCCTTCACTTTAGGATTGTTTACAGTCAGTCAAGTTTTTCCAGATTAACAAAGCCTTCCTCATAAACCTACTGCAGTCAAGCACAAGGACCGGGAAAGAACGGCAGGACCAGGGCCAGCTGGGAGATTGAGATGGACTGGGACACAGACAGCCAACTAGTGTCAAGCATAAGAAACTGTCACCAAGTATCCCTTCCACAAGGGTCCCCTTCTCTGCCTTCCATGAGGACACACCCTCCCCAAGAGAAACTGCTGAGAGCAACTTTTACTTCAGAGAGTCCAGGGGTTAAAAAAACGCCCCCTTCTAAAGGCAAGGTTAAGCAGCTGTCCAAACCACCCAAGGAGATTCAGGAGCCCCGGACAGCTGGGCGCCCCCTGCCCCAGCTGTGCTAAGACAGCCCGGCCAGGGAAGAGTTAATGGGCAATCAGCTTTGGCTGATAGTTCAGACTCCAAAGTTCAGTCCCAGCCACTGAAGGAATTGTAAATCTCAGGGCAGTATTTAACAAAACAAAAGCAACCTGGAATTACATGACGGTTTGGCTTTCCACAGAGCTTATTTCCTCTAATCCCCAAGGTATGCAGCTCCATGTCAGATCAGCTGGCTTGCCCGGTCCTCCTACCCCCTCCTTAGCAACAGTTTAAATTTCAAACTAATTCCCTAGTTTGTTCTTCGTCTTCGCGGGCCGGCTGGAGACAGCCCGGCCTGCCGGTCTCAAATCCCTCTCCATTGCTCTTGCCGCTGGGTGGGTCAGCCTGGTCTGCAGTTTCAATTGGGTGACAGCTGGCTCGCCAATACTCTCCTGCACGTCTCCAAAATCTGGAGCAAGGGGAGCTGCAGCCACCCACATAGCGAGAGGCAATGGACAGTGAGACATAGTGCCACCCCCTAATCCGGTGGGGGTCCCCTTTGCTGAGGTGGGCGAAGGGTCAAGGTGAGGACAAGGGCTCTTTATCAGCGCTGGTTGCCCCCGCACTCCTCCTTCCGGATTTTAAACACCTGGGCCTCCCAGTCTTTCTGCCGGGCTAGACCATCCAAGTCAACTCCTTCTTCAAACCCGAACCGAGCACCCCCTCTCACGTCCCTGCTGAGCTGCAGGCGCCCAGGTTTGGACTAGGCAGCGAGTTGCCAAGCAAAATACCAAGCGCAACCTAGCAGTCAGGGCTTCCAGCTCTACCCAGGGGCGCGCACACCCCGCGCTCAGCGGGGTGCCGGCTAAGAGGAGGGAGGGTGGGGGCATAACACCTTAGAGATGAGGTCACGAGGAGGGGTAGGTGGGTGTCCTAAATCTAGGGGTAGGTGGGGGGTAAATGCAGCCAGATGCCAATCCCAGGACTTGCCCAAAAGACTCCGGTGCCCGGGAAATTTACAAAGGTTGAAACCGGCTAGTTTAGCAGTCCCTGGTGAAGCAAAGGATGGCCCGAGACTCTCAGCTTGTTGGCGCTGGTTTCCGCAGCCGCAGCAGGTGGGAGAACCCTCCCCTCCCAATACCCTCCCTCCCCGGCACGCGCGCGCGCGCCAGAGTCCCCTCACCCCGGCGCCCACTTCCAGGTGTCGCAGTGCCACCCCGCCCCCACGTCGCGTACCTTCCTGGCGCCACGCTCTGCGAACTCCCGAGCGAGGTGGCGCCCGATGCCTCTCCCACCGCCGGTGATGAGGACTGACTCCCGGGACAGGTCCCGAAGCTTGGGGGGCAACACCAGTCCCACGGCTGCTTTGGTCACCAGATAGATTATTTGCAGGGGGAACACGACCAGCGCTCCCAGCCATTTCCACACCATCCTCCGCGCGGCAGAGCCGGGCGCAGGGGGAGGAGGTAGGAGGCTGTGGACGAAACTCCCCGGACTAAGCAAAACAGGAATTAAAAAAAAAAAAAAAAAGAAAAAGAAAAAGAAAGAAAATACTCGCAAATAATAATAAATAAATAAGGAGAAAAAAAAGAGGCTTCCCACCTGGCCACTCTTGAACTTCTCTTTCCAGATGCAAAGCTCTGGGCGAGAAAAAGGGGGTGGTGGTGGTGGTATAAACTGCTCCGGCAGAGGCGGGGGAGGGGGGTGGAAGCGTCTCAGAAGATTGGGACCGTGAGAGGGATAGAGGGGAGGCCGGGTTGGGAAGTTCTAACAAGAAGTTTCTTGCCACAACAGCCGTTTCGGCTGGGCGACTCACAGGTAATGTTTACAGATCGACAGAGGAGTTTAAGCAAGGCTGGGGGGGGGGCACCAACCACAAGAGCGCACACTACTACAGTCCGCGGTTTCAAAGTGCAAGATTAAAAAAAAAAAAAACAAACAAAAAGCTGTTTCCCAATTATAGCGCCCCCTCCAGAAAAGGAAAAATCAAAACAAAACAAAAACAAACAAATAAAAAACACCACACACACACACAAAACCTGGGGAGTGATTGCAGCTCCCAATTTCAGTCCGCCAAAGTCTCCCAACTCATTGCTATTCTTGGGCTCAGGAAATTGCTTAAACGCGATCTGATTGCCAGCACCGTGCAAGAGAAGTGGGGGGTCCGGGTGTCAGTTTCTTCCCGTGCACGGCTCGCCCTCGCGCGCGCCCGTTCTCTCCCGCTCCCGCCTCCTTCTCTTGCAGCCGGGGCTGGGAGTTGCCGCTCGATCTGGCTTCCTCTCTCTCTCCTTCTCTCCTGTTTAGCATTTATTGCCTTCTTTTTGTCCTTTCCAACTTGGACGGGGCCGGCTTGAGGAGCACGCGTGGATAGGACGCCCTCGTCTGCACCGCCGTATTCCTTCGTTCGCAGGGCAGCTGCGGCGTGGACCCACCGAAAGGGCGCCCCCTCCCTTTTTTTTTTTAATACCCCATTAAGTCTGATTGACAGTTAAAGTTGTTGGGAGGCTTCACTACCATGCCTCTGAGTGGCTGCAGCGACTTCCCCTCCCCCTGCGCCGTGGCGGGGCACGCGCCTGGGCGCGCACCCGGTCGCGCTGCGACTCGCACTCTCCTGGGACTGGCTTCTCATTTCTGCAAGCCGGGACTTGCCGCCCTAGTCCCCCGAGGGCTCCCCCTGGAATTCGAACACGCTGGAACCTTCTCAGGCAAGCAGGCTAGCTCCATCAGAGATTCCTCTCAGGCCGGGCCAGGTGACCACCCCTGAGCGAGTGCGGGGCAAGTCGAGGGGGAACTCGCGCACGTCTTGATGCTAGTGGGTCGCAAAGGGTTTATTTCAGGTCACTTGGTCATCCCCCTGCCTCCAGGTAGGGCCAGGAAGTCAGGCTTCATCATTGCCTGGTCCTCATTTTCCTTCGTGGAGTGTACATTCCAAGTTGTACGAACGTGGAGCCTCCACTTTGTGGAGATAGGGGGACCTCTGGGAGCAGGATTTTGCTTTGAGAGAAAAGGGAGGCAGGATAAAGTAACCTCTGATCCCAGGTGCCAGTAAAATCCCCATAAGATTAGCTGAGAGCATATTTATTGCTTATCTGGGCTAGAATTACCTTGACTGACAGCAATTTCCTTAGTAAGAAAAGCCTGTAAACAACACGTCTTCAACCTGTGCCACTGTTCAGTTCATGCAGTAACGCAGTTCTCCCAGCTGTATGAGTGCCCCCCCGCCCCCGCTGCCTTGTTGGGTACCCACCTTGTAACCTCTTACCCACCCCTAGCAAGAACGTCTCCCTGTTGGGAGGGTGGGTCCCAGCTATTTAGGGTTGCCTGTTGCGGGAAGTCTAGGAGGTGAGTCATGACGAGCAGGCCCAGTTAAAAGCGCTGATGAGACTTGCCGCCCGCCCCCTCTGCACATCCTTGGGCGGGAGAAGGAGAGACAGCCAGAGAGCCTGCCCTGTAATCCGGGGCAGCCTTTTCCAGACCTGGACGTGTTCAGGCTGGGAGTCCTGGGCCTCAGCACTGAAGACCGATCCAGCAGGCCCTGGTTGCACAGGGAACCAACTGCTTTTATACTCCCCGCCCTGCCGGCCGTCCAGGGTGTGAGCAAGTCCTTTAGAGAAGTGCTGATTTGGGGAGGGGAGGAGGGGACGGGAGGGGGCTCCTCCTCATTTGCCAGCTACTATGGTTCTGGGGAGACACTGGGCCTGAGAACTCCCAGTTTCTGGTGGAGCCAAAGGGACGGGACGAAAGGAAGCCACTCTCCTGCCTGCCTGTCTGTTCTGACATTCCACCCTCAGGCTGACCTCGCCTGGAGGACTTTGTCATCCCTTTTCCCAGGTTACCCAGCCAGGAAGTGCAGGAGGGAGGGATTCAGTCCAGACCTAATTTCTCTTCCCACCCCACCCCACTCTGGCAAGAAGGCAGGAGAGAGGTGGAGGACGAGCTTGGCCAAGGACTTCAGTGAAGAGACTCCCTGCAGGCTCCATTCTTCTTTTTAAAGGCCTGCGGGAAGGGTTGGCCATTGCCTTCATTAGATCCCATCCCAGCACAATGACCATGTCTCCCCGTCTTCCAACAGGAAAGACATCCCGGCAGCAGAGAACCAGACTCTTGGTGCCCAGCAGTTGGCGAGGCCCCAAGTATAAGACTGTCTGGGGAGACCCCAACAGGCTGCAAAGCTTCTGCCCTCATCTATTATCCTTGGAGCCGCCTAGTGGCCAATACGGGACACTACACCTCCAAACTACTCCAATTTCCAGCACCATGGTGGGGCTAATTCTTTGGGCTTAGGCCTTTCTCTCCATGTAATGTCAACACCCCAAGCCTTGTAAAGCTAAAGACTTGTAAAGATCACAGCCCCTTTGCTCCCTGTTTTATAGCAGAGGTCACTAACATCCAGATGTCCAGCCTTATATCCTATTCAGTTCAGATGCTGCACTAGCTGAGTGACCAGGGGGGCTTTCGTCCATGTCCCATAGGTGTGTGTTTGGGACAGAGGGCAAGGGATAGGCGGAAAGACATTGCGAACCCCAGTAGACCTTCACAAGTGTCCTATACACACCTTAATTTCATGAACGGTCCAGGGAGGTGGAGGAGGTTAGGCCCAACGTATGCAAGTATCTCACCCCGTTGATTCTGAGCTGGAGACAGAGGGGGACAAAAACAAACGCCCTTCCAGGCAATTCCAAAAGGGGATGTCAGATCCAGAAGCTGGCCTGAAGTGGGGTTCACTTTCAGGATATGGATTTTGTGGTCTGGTGTCCCTGTGACCCTCAGGCTTCCTCCAGCACCAGCTTTCCAGAGGGGAGCTGTCACTGTCTCAGTCCCCTCATCCCCCAGTTCCCAAGAAGAGAGGGCCATGTTGGCACAGTAGCCTAGGCTGGCCTGGCTTCAATAAGAAGTTTGTGATGTAGGATATTTTGCCCCCTGTCTTTCTCTCTTGGTACCCTTCCATCCTGTTTTCTTGGGGCAGGAGGTGCAGAATCTAACTCCACATCACAGCTTGAAATTTCACCTCTGAGCCTTGGGCGGAGGGCCCCACACTTTTTTTTTATCCACTCCCCTCCTGACAACCTGAAAGGAGCCTTTGTGGGCTTGATGGGAGAGGTGAGCGGCTGCCTACAAAACTAACTTTTCCATGAGTCAGCCCTGCTGGGGCTGGGCACAGCTAGGGAGGTACAAGGAACAGCCCTCCTGTAGGGCCTGCTGGATCCTGGTGTCTGAGCTTCGTCCAGTTTCCCTGGTTTGTGATTAGAGACAGTGAAGAGAGGTTGCTGGCCTTGAGGTTAAAGGTAGACTATCTAGGGACTGGGGAGATGTTCCAGTGAATAAGAACACTTGCTGTATGTGCTGGCTAGTTTTTATATCAACTTGACACAAGCTAGCGTCATCCCAGAGGAGAGAACCTTAATTGACAAATTGTCTCTAGAAGATCCGGCTGTAGGCAAGCCTGTAGCACACTTCCTTAATTGGTAATTGTTGTGGGAGGCTCCAGTTCATTGTAGACCAAGCAAGCCATGGAAAGCAAGCTAACAAGTAGTACCCTCTCCACCCGCACCCAGGGCCTCTGTGTCCACTCCTGCCTCCAGGTTCCCACCCAGACTTCCTTTGATGATGGCCTGCGATGTAGAAGTGTAAACAAAATAAGCCCTTTCCTACCCAGGCTGCTTTTGGTTGTGTTATTCCATCACAGCAAAATAAACCCCAAGACGCCATGCAGACATGAGGACCTGAGCTTGGGTCCCCAGTACCCATGTAAAAAGTTGGATGTAGCAATGTGCTCCGATAATTCCAGGGTAGGGGTGGAAGGGAGCAGGGGAGACTGGTGAGTGGATCCTTGGGGCTTGCCAGCTCGCCAGCTAGCCTAGCTGAAAAACAGCAAGCTCCGGATTCCGTGAGAGACATCTCAAGGGAGTGAGGCCGAGGCCAACGGGAGGAATATGGTCCTTTTCAGGCCACTGCATATGTGTGCACTGGGATGCACACTCCCAAGCATACGCACGTGCAAGCGAGCACATCCACACACAGTGGACTGCCTGAGCTAGTTTTAAATCATTCCGAGGCAGCCAGTGGCTTCTTGACCACCGAGCCTGTTTTGTTTTCTGCCCAGTCCCAAGCAGTGAAGGCTGAGAGTTTTTCTCTCCTCGCTACCATTGCAAATGGGCCTTCAGAGCCACAATATAGAAAGGCATGCCTCAAACTTCACCCAGTTCCGGGGATGGCTGGCTCCATGCTGCTGGGGGACAGCTGGAGCACCAGCATGGGGACCTAGAGATGTTCTCTACCCTCCTAAGGGACGGATGACGGTGCAGCAGAACCACAGAAGCCGACACCAGTATCCATCATGGTGCCATTCTGCCCCTTGACCCACTTCCAGCTCTTTTATTTCTTGCAGCACTAGGAATGGAAACCAGGGCAAGGGCTCTACCACTGAGTGCCCCACCCCCAACCCGACCCAGTCCTCCAGCTCTAGGACAGGATTTCAAATGTTCAGTGCACACACACACACACACACACACACACACACAGAGAGAGAGA